GTTTGGTTTTTTTATTGTTGTTTTATGTGATGTGAATACCCTCCCGTCAATATTTGTACGATGGTGCTAATATATTTGGTAACAATCCTTTATTGGGAAGGGATTTTAAAAAAACTGTGATTTCAGCTGAATTTTTTTCTTCCTTTTGATTTTTGTTTTTCATATTTAAAACGAAAAGCCACAGCCATTTATACAAAAAAAAGGCATCAGCTTTGGCCCCTGGGAAAATGTTGGGGCGGGAATCAAGATTAAACAAATGGGGTTTTTACATCATTTCTGTATGTATTTGATATATAGATCAATATCTGTACAAATTTAATCTTTTATTTTCTTGGTAATTTGTGTGGTCAATGAGAGAGTATTTAAAGCTTTCTCATGCAATGTACATAACTCAGTGAAGAAAATGCTTTTGGAGAAATTAATGTTACTTTCATTTTTACGAGACTGCAGATTTTCAGCATGGATGTGAAAAGCATTAAAATTATAACTTTGTGTACAAGATGAAAATAATTCACTAAATTTGCCTTTTTTTACACAAAATAAAAATTATAAAAAGTCTTTTTCTGAATAGTGATTGTTTTGTTTAAAAGGCACTATTTGGCATATACATAAATGCACTCCAGCTTCTTTCTCTCAACAGAATGCAGATTAAAAAAATACTTAAAATATTTATCTTTTACAAATCGTAACTGGATATGTTGGTCTGACCACAAATGAACCATGTGAGATGCTGACCACAAGCTAAGGGTTTTAACATGAGATGGTGGCATTATATAAGCATTTAATAGATAGCAAGCTTTGCACTTGGCTCTCATTTTATTTGGTATTTATAGTTTAAGAAGGGAAACTGTGCAGTATCGATCTTTTTTTCCCTTAGCTCAGTTCAGCTGTGTTGGAAGCAGCTCCAGCCTCCTGTCAGCTCTCTGCAAACTGGCTTTGCCACTGCCGTGATTCCAGGAGCCTTCAAAGCAACTGCACAGGGCCACAACTCCCTGGATTTTTATTCTGATGTGTCTATACATGGCATTTCTGATTAAACTGCTCCTTCTAGGAGGGAAACACTGCATGTCTAAAATGACTTGTATGAATATCTGAGCGCGGGGTCTGTTGGAAGTGAATGCACCACAAGGAGTCAGTTCACACCCATTTATTGGACAGTCACTGTCAGCACTAAGATAACCGTGGTTGCTCCCAGGTCAGCAGCTGGAATGAGATGGTGCGTTAGAAGGCACAGATCCCTGCGGGAACTCGTCACTCGTAGATCCAGTCGTGGGCACAGGGCTTGAAGTCGATGAGCTCTGCGGGTTTGAACCACAGGTTGATCTCCTTCTGCGCGCTCTCCACGGAGTCGCTGCCGTGGATGATGTTTCTGTGGAAGGAGACAAACATTGCTCCCTGTAAAAACACACTTCGAGCAACGTCGTCATTCTCCACACGCAAAAACTGGGATGAAGCATCTAGAGAGCTGCGAGACTATTGCTTTTATTTCGGGGCCAGCGTTCCACCAGCCTCACTCTGAGAGCTAATTAGGCCTAGCAGGGTCATTAGGGCGACTGTTCTACACCAGCCCCTGCCTGAGCTTACGTGCTGCTCTGAGGAGGAGCTGGATTTCAAACAGAGTCACTTTTGTACCATTTTCTTAAGTAGCAGTTATGGATTGTGACCTGCAAATGAAATACCATCAGATGAGGGTATCTACCACTAATTCTGGCTTTCCAGATATAAAAGACTACCAACAGATTTCATGTTGGCAGTTAAACATTGAGTAGTAGTTGGTTTTGATCTCAATTAATGAACTGAGTACAAACCTTCCCACTTGAATGCAGAAGTCACCACGGATGGTACCAGGCTTTGAGTCTGCAGGGTTTGTTTCCCCCAGCATTACTCTCCCAGTTTTAACCACATTGAGTCCTTCCCATACCTTAAGGCAAAAAGACAAAACCAGTCCTGTTAATCCATGCTTATACAAAATATCAACGATTAATCTTTGCTAATAACATGCTCTCCAAAGAAACAGGGGCTCTACCACTAAAAAAAAAAATAAACCTTGCCTAGATCCTCTCTTAGGCCTGTAGGGGTGACTAGGGAAAAAAACAATATGAACTGGAAGTGTTTGTAAAAAGGATCATCAACATTGTTACTCCAGTCAAGATACTTTACCAAGCCTCAGACTTAAATAACGCACAAGGCCAACTCCAATGCCTTCTGTTTTGGTAGGATAAGGACATCCTGATGAGCTGTAGGTGCTCCTAGTTAGGTAGAGTCAAACCAGGAGCTGCTACTGGAGCAAGTACATTGTTTTCAGAGTACTGAAAGAAAGAATGACACAGAAGATGGGTTTCTGTGTCAGAGAGCCTCACCCTTTTTTGCCTAAACCAGAAGATTTTTGATGCAGAAGATCTGCTCTCAGGAATTTTGCTTAATACATGTTAAGCATTTTAATACACATTTTACATGTGCACTTTTCTTCTTGTTAATATATAGTAATTTCTTGACTGTCTTAATTTTTTGTTTCTTTTGCCACTCTCAGAACTGGGTGATTTGAAAAACTGTTTCTGTAACAGTATCTCTGAATAGTTTAAAAAATGTACAGAGCAAGACAAATTTATTCAAGCAAGTCATCTTTAACTAAAATCAAGCCACTTACCATGGCCACAATAGGTCCAGAGTTCATGTATTTAACCAAACCAGGGAAGAAGGGTCGGTCTTTCAGGTCAATGTAATGTTGTTTGAGGAGGTCTTCAGAGGCCTTTAAAAGGGCAGATGTAACATTAAATATCAGCATCTGAATATCGTATCCCAAGAGGTGTTACTGCTGTAAGACTATGGCACTGGTGACTGGGGAGTCATTAATGTTATCAACAGGGCTGCAGTGCTGTTGTGGGTATCCATGCGAGCTCCTAATGTAAAATTAAAGGAGTGCACGGCCCCTTTGTCCTTTGTGGCAGTGTCACCGTTGCGAGCTGTCAACATTATTTCTTTGCATTGCAGTGACCCTCAGCGATAAGCAGAGCACGGGCTGCCTGGGTGCTGTTACCCAACACAACCTTTCAGTCAAGGTCGGTCCAGCTCTCAATCGGGCTGCACCAAACCCTCTGGGCAAAACGTGCTTCCTTTGGACAGGGGGGAGATCCTGTGCTGGGCAGGAAGCTCGGCCTGAGGCACGTCCGCTATCGGATTGCCATTCTGATGCACAAAGAGCCGCAAAGGAAGATAATCTGTGAGTGCCCAAGGCAATCTGTGTGTACCCAAGACGATCTCTGTGTGCGCCCAAGCCCCTCTCCGGCAGGCAAGGGAAGGCGTTTGGGGGAATGCGGGGACTCACATGCACGAACTTCATGGCCACGAGCCGGAACCCTTTCTGCTCGAAGCGCTTGATGATCTCCCCGACCAGCCCGCGCTGGACGCCGTCGGGCTTGATGGCGATGAAGGTGCGCTCGGCGTTCCCAGCCATGGCCCTGCGGGCACAGTGGGGCGACCATCGGCCTCAAGGTCGCCCGCCATGGCCGCGCCGCCCCGCCCGCCGCGCCCACGTGGCACGGCGGCGATGGATGAGCCCCCCCGGCACCGCTGTGTGCCCCCGGCACCGCTGTGTGCCCCCGGCATCGCTGTGTGCCCCCCGCCCCGGCACCGACACCGGCACCGGCACCGGCACCGACACCGACCCGCCCGCCGCCCCCGCGGGCCCCCCGAGCGCGGGGCCCGGCCCGGCCTCACCGCTCCGGAGCTCCCGCAGCCGCTGCCGCCCAAGGAAGAGGAGGAGAAGAAGGAGGAGGAGGAGGAGGAGGGAGGGCGGCGGATCCCCCGCCCCGCGCAGAGGAGGAGCCGCCGGGCGAGCGGCGCTTCGGGGCGGGCCCGGCGGGGCGCGGGGAGCGCTTGGGAGCGCGCCCGGGAGCGCGCCCGGGATCCCGCCCGCCCGCGGCCGCCAGCGCGGACAGGGACGGGACGGGACGGGACGCGGTGGGGTGGGATGGGATGGGATGGGGTGGGATGGGACAGCGGGTCCTGGTGCCAATGGTGCCGTGCCCAGCGCTGCGCAACCTCGGCCGAGCCGGGGAGGGCTCTTGGCCGGGCTGTCCCCACCGCACCTGTCGCCTTCGCCTCCTCGAAAGCCGCCCGAGGGTTATTAATTTACAGCTGCAGCAGCGGGGGCTTTAAGCCTTCAAGGCACTGAAGCGATTGCGGATGTTTAACTAAATAATTTTTTTTTACTTATTGGTGCTGGCGCTGCCTTTTTCCTTTTTCAGGTGTTCCTGCGGTCTGGTGGCGGATGGTGCAGCCAGCCCAGCACGCCTGGAAAGCATATTTCTCACGGGAAAGTGGTGTGGGATCTGTTACCCAGGGAAGTTATCAGTGATTCTGCTGGGATTCAGGAAGATGAAGCTGAAAAACACAGATGTAAAACGACACGGTCCCTGTACGGTGTCTTAAGAAGAAGCGGGAAGGGTTGCTACTTTTTGTTATTAAACATTATGGTAATTTGCCCTTTACTAGTTTACAAAACACCTTTTCACTTCCTGAGCGAATTATAATCATACACAACCACTGCAGATGGGATATTAATGAAAAGCCCTTTGCAGTCCTTGTGCAGTCTCTAATTGATGGGACACTGACACTGCACCTGCTTGGGCACCTCAGCCATGCAGGAATGTTGCATTTCCCTGAGAGATGCTGACCTCCACCTCCTCCCAGCCTCATCACATAAAAAATACTAATCAGCAGCTTTCTGACAACCCCCACATCCCTCGATAACCTACATTTCTCTATTTTGTAGTAATCAAATCAAGAAAAAGAAATCTCAAGTAACCTTTCAAGCAAAAATGGAACTAGACACTATTCATCTCATGCCCAGGTTTGTCATGTACTCCCTTTCCTCCAACATTTAACTTCAGTATTTATCTTCTATAACAGTGAATATTTTCAGAAGAGAAGCTCACAGCCTCACCTACATACTTAGGGAATTTGTTTCATCTCCATATACTCATTGATAGAAGACAATGTAATTAAAATATCTTTTTATTTCACTTAAGAAACAGCAGATGTTTCGTTTTGTACCATCTCTTTTTTAGTCCAACATACATTGCACAGTTCATTATTTGAAACTCACCACAGGGAAAAAAATCATGGGATTCGAACAACTAATTCCATGAAACACTTGCTCTTAGTGAATATAATGTTGCAGGTAAATAAATACATAATATCAATTCCAACTCCTCCTCATCCAGTACAACCTCTGTTGTTAAAAGTTCTGCAAGAGGACGACGTTTTTCTCTGATAGAAGCAGACACCTCTACTGAAATACTTTCAGCATTATTATGACTGTGCTTCTTTACATCATTAAATTAATTCAAAACAATATTGCCAAAGTCACTTCTGAGACATTTCATCCAAGGACAGTTTGCTTTGTAGTTCCAACTACTACGGAAAGGACACGAATGAGAACAAACCTAAATTATCAGACCCTAAATTATCAGCTGTTCAGCCAGCAAAGCAAACATCACTTATTGCTCTGTGCAGTGCCAGGGGGCTGCTGCAGTGAAGGGGTTGAAGGTAGATCTCCCTCATCCATCCTCACATTAATCTTCTTTTTACATAAAAGGGCATTTCATAAACCCTGGCTGGTTAATCTTTCCTTAAAATGCTAAATAAATCCCATGTGGGGGGGGTGTGGGGTGGAAAAAGCAAGTTAAAACAGCGTTAGTGTGGAGGACAGTTGTTATGTTAATCAGAGCTGAGCTCTGTGTATGGGCACAGAGCGTTTTGGGGGGAGAAACAGGTTTTTTTTTCTGCAGCTGTTTTGGGTATGGGGCACACACGATATCAAATTCAGTCCTCAGCATCTGGACATGTTAGCAATATACTCACATACTACCAGCTGTCCTTTAACATTTAAATAAAGTTAACTGCTAACACCAAGCCATTTACATGTTGAATTATTGGATAATTTTTTAACAAAAAAAAATTTTTTTTTCTATTTACCAAAATACTCTCTATGGCTATAAAGTGTTCCAGGAAAATATATCTTTTTCATATGCTCTGTGTTTTAATCTCATATCTCTCAACCCCAGAAGCAGCTTCTTTTAAAAGTACAATTCCATCTATAACTTCACAGCTTTTAAATCAAAGCAGCAGTAAACACTGACTCTACTTAACGTTCACAACAACAGAGCAATCTCACAGATTTCTGAGGTTTCTACCAGGGCTTTGGAATAGCTAAAGGCTGGCAGCTGCTCAGGGGCTGTAGGGATATCAGAGGATGCAGGCTCAGTCATAGATCCACTCATGAGCGCAGCTTCGGTAATCAACCAGTTCTTCAGGAGTGAACCATAAATTGATCTCCGTCTCAGCACTTTCCACAGAATCACTTCCGTGAATGATGTTCCTGGGAAAATAAAAGGTGGATAAAAGAGTAAGAGAACCCTCAAACTCAAAACAGAGCAAGCCTCTTGTTTAGAAGTGGTTTGCATTAGGGAGAGGAGCTTTAAGCATCTGTACAGCTGGAGCAGGCACAGCACAGGCAGTCCCAGCTTTGCTCCTTATTTTTGTCAATGGGGACAACCACGACTCAATTTCCATCCTTGGAGCATAACATTACTTGGGCCCAGGGAATGGCAGCTCCATGGGTAAGACAGAGAAGGATGGAGCACAGTTCCTCCATATATCATAACAGAACACTTGACATTTATTGTCTTTGGATGATATCAAGAGTTTTAAAGCATACCTTCCAACTTGAACACAGAAGTCACCACGAATAGTGCCAGGCTTGGAATCGAATGGATTAGTTTCTCCCAGCATCACCCTTCCTGTCTTAATCACGTTAAGACCTTCCCACACCTTAGAAGGAAAAAAAAAAAAATCCATTGAGATTATTAAACCTTAGCAGCAGATGCTTTCCTCAAGAACACAGGGCTGCCCATCATGGCAAAAGTTACCATCTGAATATTTGTTTTAGTGAGACATATTTTATCTCCAATTTTTCTCTCAGATTCATGACATTCATGCTGATATTCTCCTCTAACAGCACATCTTCTTAATTATGGTATTTGAATCTAGGTTTTTAGGTCCTTTCAAAAGAAAGCCAGAATTCAATAGGTACCAGAACCTCACTGCAGGTAAGACAAGCAGTGTTTTTGTGAGCTGAGCTTCACTGTCAGGGACTCACCATGGCCACAACAGGTCCCGAGTGCATGTACTGCACCAGCCCATCATAGAAGGGCCGGTCCTTGAGGTCGATGTAGTGTTCTCTCAGAAGGTCTTCAGAGGCCTGCGTTAAAAACCAGCCAGACAAACAAAAAAAGCTCACTGTAAGAACTTAAGAGCATAGTGAAATCACAGAGATTAAGCACAGAGCGCTGGTAATCCGGAAACTTGCACGCACTTCAAATTTCCGAATTTCTAGCATCTTCCTTGGAGCAACTTCTGGCCTATATGAATTTGAACTGTTTGCTTTAACCACAGCTGAGCTTAGAAAAGTGTCTTCTGCCAGTACAGATGGTTTATGTGACCTGGGATTTGTGGAAGATATTCAGAGATATTTATTAGGCATGGGATGCACCTGAAATATTCTCTTCAGGCTAAGGACATCAGGTTACTAAAATTAGCATGCTTAGCATGCCTAAAGCATTTAGCCAGAGCTGGGAACTGGAACTTTTCCAGAAACACCCAAAACAAGGCTTCTCAAAATTTCAGGTTTAAATATTCTGCAGGCTACATTTGTTGGTCCAGCATGCTGCTGCTTTATTTGAAGGCTTCAGGTGATATGAAACAAAGGGGAGACATACCAGCTAAGGAGAGCTTACATGTATTAATTTCATGGCCACTAGTTTGAATCCTTTCTGCTCGAAGCGCTTGATGATCTCCCCGATCAGCCCCCTCTGGACGCCGTCGGGCTTGATGGCGATGAAGGTGCGCTCCTCGATGGAAGCCATCGTCCTGAGGAGGGAGAGAGGGAAGGGAAGTCGTTATCCCAGTCGTTATCCCAGGAAGGGCAATCCCTGCCCCGTGTCTCCCGTAACATCGGCTGCATCTTAGGGGCAGTAACCCACGGTCCCCGCCGGTCGCTGCACACAGGTTTTCACAAGTGCTGCGGCAGCGAGTTTAAAGCAATTTTCCCAGTACAGAAACAATTAGCCAACATTAGACTCAGTAAAGCTCTGAATGGAGTAGAAGCTGAAGACCGTCACGGATCCACCTCCCAGCGCCGTGCAATAAATAAATCCACACAGGCGGTGTTTTCAGCGGGAGGAACCCGCGCGGCCGGAGGGCTCCGCGCCCCTGCGCGGGTGAGGAGCGCGGACACACCGCGCGGGGGACTGCGGGGATGCTCCGCGGGGATGGGGGGTTGGGGACACCCTCCCGCTGCCCCCTCCCCATCTCACCCGCTGGCGGTCCCGGCGGCTCCCGCAGCCCGTGTCACCCGCTGGTGGCTTTGCCACCGCTTTGTCTGCGCGGGGACCAGCCCGGCTTAGCCCCGAGTTCCCCCCCCGCCCCCGCGGTTGCCATGGGGACAGCGCGGCCTCCCGCCTGCAGAGGACGCTGCTCCCCCCCCTCCATCGCCCCCACCCGCGTCGGGCCCGCCCCGCACCCGCCCAGGGCTTTTGGGGTCTCCTGTTCCCTGCCCGCCCCGGCCGGGTCACACCGGCACCCACCGAGTGTCTGATTTCCCCAAGCCGGGGATGTCAGGCTGAGCCCTTCCAGCTTTTCATCCCCTTTTTTGATCCCGTTTTTTATATAACGGAAGGCATATAATATTACCTCAATAAAAATCTCATTATCATACTGTTCTGCCCTAAGCTTCTGCTTTAAAGAAGGCCATTAGTTTTATTGTTGTTGTTGTTGTTTTGCTGGTTATACTACATCATTATACCGAATAGTATTATATTTGATACTGTATTAGCTCTCTGAGTCAAAAGACCTTTCATCAATTTGACAACTGAACTGTTTTGCCTTTAGCGTTTTGCTGCTTTTTGGAGAACTGAGGATAAAGCATCTGGACGGAAATCCGTGCTTGTCCTGCTTTTGTTTCCCAAACTGGGATGAACTTCCTTGGCTTCACTCCCTGGCTCTTCTTGAGAGCAAAATTTCCCTTCCCTCTGGGTAGGACTTTGCTGCTGTTTAACAGGGAGAAGTTCAGCTTTTTGATAGCATGGATTTCCTTATTCAGGATTCCCTTTCTTTGCCACATTCCATGACACATCCATGCGTTACTTTTAGTTCTGGTGGGAGACTCCAGATCTGACATAAGTACCTATTCAAACAACCTGTTTACTAAGATTCAGGGGTCTTTTTCCCAAGTATGATCATAGTATGATGGACTCATTTTTCCAAGATGTCTGATTTAATAAATGATGTTTTAAAAACATTGTTTATTTTAACAAGTCCCCCTTGAAGTTATTTTGGACTTAGAATTTCTGATTATTCTCCTGACAGTGTCAATCCACTATACACATAGTTTCAATACACGTTTATTTGAGATGTTTTATACTACTAAAACTAATGCTCTAATCCTCACTATGGCAAAATAATACTTAAACATAAAAAAAAGGTCTCTAGAAACAGGATGTTTGGAAAAATATGAACTTAAAAGCAGCAACAGGACATCTATTTACAGCCTTGTTAAATCTATGTCATTTAATGATTAAAGCTTAGGACTTGCCCTAAGGTGGGCAAGCACTATTTCCAGCTTTACCATAGGTCTGCTCTGTGATCTTCGCCAAGTCTTTTAACCTCATTAAATAAGGGTCATCTTTGTCACTTTTGAGATTAATCCATGATTAACAGAGCAAGATGTGCATCATGTGGTACATGAAACACCACAGAACTTAGGCTTCCTTGTTATTTTTACTGTATAAATGAGCAGATTTATTGCTGGCTGAAAGTTCTACCAGATCACAAAATTACATTGACATTTACATGTTTATATGAAATGTGAAGAAGCAGAGTCCACACAAAGAATTTCCTAAAAACAGGCTGATCATGGGAGAGAAGTAAACCCCTGTAAAGTCCTCAGTGAGTGAACAAAGTGTAATTGCTGAGCTCAAACCATTTACATGTTACTTAAAACTAGCAGAGTTTTTTTTTAAAACAGGTTCGAAGAAAAAGATTGACTGTGAATGTCTCCAGACTTCAGAAGAATTTAAACATAATTCCTAAACTTGGGTGGTTTTGTCCCAGCTGTGCAATGATCTCAGCTCACAGCCTCTGTCTGTACCACATTTGGGTGTTCTCATTTTGTGCTGTGCCCCTCCTGCTCCTTGTAACCAGACTCCTCAGTCTGACATGTTTTGTTGCTCAAGGCTTTACTACTCTTCTTTTAGCTGAAGCTTTTACCAAAATTTCTTCCTCTGTGTGAAGTGCCAGGTAACCTCTTCTCACCCCAGACTGATCCAAGGGCTTATTTTCTTCCCTGGTAAATTGCAAATCAATTTACTTTCAAATTAACTGTTATTTCTAGGGATAGGTAATGTGATTTTTTTTTCTATTATCCAGAAAACTTATTTATTTGTCAGTCAGTTCTTGCTACGAGAATGTGGTGGCATTTTACTCTGCTAGTTACAACATGCAACCACCACTTTCAAGCTACAAAGACAGTTCTACCAGATTTCTTTGTGCTATTTCATATGCTTGATTCATTTGCTAAATTGGCAGGTCATCAAGGTTCCTTAATCTCCTGGAAAGAAACTAGAATATCGTTCCATACCACCTTCAATTTTTAATTCATCCCTGAGTTTCTGATCTCACACTGACTGCAAGGTGCACATCATAAAACGTGATCACTGTGGTAAGACTGTCAATAAGATACATTTTTACACCACTTAAACTCCCAGGTGACTTTTCTGCTCTCCATCTTTTTAAATACTTCATTATCCCACACTAGAGAACCCCCATATGACTAGAAAAAAACCCCAAATGGCCCCTTTACCTGTGCTCGTCAGTCTGACTGCAACTGAAGTGGCAACAGCAGCCTGTTCAGTGATGCACCTGCTCTGTCTGGGAAAGAAAACCACATCCATACATTTTGCTGATAGAGACAGGATAAAAATAGCATATCCTCAGAGACCCCTTTGCTAAAGGCTGTCAGCAGACACCTTGACCCACTTCTGCCGTCTGTCAGAACACACGTCTTTGAGACAACGTATTTGTGCCTTTTGCCAAGCAGGATGTCAGTGGCTATAAACCCTGCACAGACAAAAGGATCTCTGCAAGATTCCAGGGGATTGGTGCTTTTATCCTCACAATAATCTGCAGTTGTTTAGAGCTGTCCTCACGTTGGGCAGAGTTACACAGGAACAACGTGGTGAGGTGCAGGTTAAGAGTTCACGGCACAATTAGCTGTGGCCTGCCCGGGGGGGGGCAGGATGGAGTTCCCTCTCCACCTGGGCTGTTTGCAGCCTTCCTGCAGGATTTATTCAGGCTCAGGAAAGAAAAAACACTAGTCAGTAACTGCTACCCCAAGGGCTCTCAGTGCCTCCTACAACACAAACCACCGAGGTGAACGAGAACTATGCATGACCCACAGGGAGGGAGAAATCCCGAGGGATGGCTTCCCACAGCACTCCTGCAGCTTTAATCTGTGGCAAACAGCAGGAAAACATGGAGGAGTTGCAGTTTTTCCTCAGTGGACAACTGCTAAAGAGAAATAGGGAAAGAGTAATATCTTCATAGGAATCTTTTCCAATAATTTAAATGAAAGTTTCACTCGAGGAGATGTATGAAAGCACACATTGTCTTTTTAGAATTATTTTTTAGCTAAAATTATGTAAATTTTTGGTCAGAATTGAAAGACAAACAGCTTTACTTTTGTTGTGATTATAAATAAATTTGTATTTTAACTGGCTGCAGCATGTGAAAATATTAGCTTAGGAGGATGATGTCTAAACAGAACTCAGAAGAAATCAAAAATATGGGGCTGAAGTATTTTCTTCTTTGTCATTCCTGCGCAGACTCACTAGCTGAGTACATAAAAGAGATCACAGCACATGATTTAAAGCACAGTTTCTGTCTTAAAACCATCCCAAATGATAGAAAACACAGTGCAAACCTCTGCTGCTCTCCAGTGGAACTGAATGCAATCACCACACTTGAGAGTTCCATCACTTCTCGAGCTTTGGCACTTTTTAAAACACTCATTTCTTTGTTCCAGGGCTGCTGCCTGGCCAGTGGATTCCTCAGCTCCCTGTACATGGAATATCACTTAATGAAAAACAAGGATTTCCCCACATTTGAATTGTATGATAGAAATTGTGCCAGAGGGGGGTTAGGTTGGATATTAGGAAATGTTTGTTCACTGAGAGTGTGGTCACTGGCACAGCTGCCCAGGGCAGTGGTGGAGTCACCACCCCTGGAGGGATCTGAAAGACGTGCAGATGTGGCACTTGGGGACATGGTTTAGTGGTGGCCTTGGCAGTGCTGGGTTAATGGTTGGAGCTGATGACCTTTGGGATCTTTTTCAACCTAAATTGGATGGTGCTGTGTAAAATGAGGGATGTGAAGCAACTCTGAAACTTTTCAGTCTCAGTACTTTGAAATTTAACCTGAATGTCTAGAACAGCTCACGCTGTTCCTCGACAGAACACATGATCCAGAATGGAATTCACTGTTCCAAATCCTAGGAAAATCAATCTCTCTTAGCAAGTGCAAGGTGTCTTCTAATCTCTGTTACTGCTAAGAAAACAGGATTTCTGATATTGATTTATCCGGAGACCTTATTAGAACTGAAAGTCCTTTTTGCAGTCAGGACCAGCCAATACAGAACTTCCAAGCATGGCTTGCGAGCTGCAGAGCCCCAAAATCCGGGGCCTAAAATCCTATCTCTGCCAGTCATCCCCCGGTGAATCACTTGATCTATTTATGCCTCCGTGGGCGCGATAAACAAATACCACCGCTGCCATGGGAGCCGCCAGACGGCACCGCCTGGCATCTCCCACCCCAGCTGGGAGCTCTGCCCACGGGCAGGGCTGCTCTCTCCGGTGACCTGGAGCATCCTGGCCTGCATCAGGAATATCAGGAACAGTGTAGCCAGCAGGAGCAGGGCAGTGATTGCCCCCCTGTACTCGGCACTGGTGCTGCGTTCAGTTGTGAGCTCCTCACTTCCCAAAGGACACTGAGGTGGTGGAGCGTGTCCAGAGAGGGACAACACGGCTTGTGAAGACAGCAGAAAACATGAGGAGCGGCTGAGGGAGCTGGGGTTGTTTGGTTTTCAGAAGAGGAAGCTCAGGGGAAACCTCATCGCGCTCCACAACCACCTGGAAGGTTGCAGTGATGTGGGACCTGGTTTCGTCTGCCGTGAGAGGACAAGGGGAAATGGCCTTAAGCTGAGACAGGGGAGGTTCAGATTAGATATCGGAAAAAAACGTTCCCACTGTCCGTCTGTTCTGACATCGGAACGGGCTGGTGGTGGAGCCACCATGGGAGGCGTTCAGGAGGTGATGGGTTTGGTGGTTTGGGGGTTACAGCGGCAGTGCTGGGTTGAT